TCTGGAACTCTCTACCACAATTTATCAGATTATCACCTTCTCTGCTCACTTTTAGGCGATCTCTGAAAACCTTTCTCTTCAGGGAAGCATATCCTGTCCTCAGCTAATACTGGAATCTTCTACTCTTCCAACCAGTCCGTCCCCCACAGTTACTACCTTTTGTACCACTAGCTCCTCCCTCCTAGATTGTAAGCTCCAAGGAGCAGGGCCCTCCTATCCCTCTTGTATTAAACTGTATTGTTGCTGTATTGTCTATATTGTAAAGTGCTGAGCAAACTGTTGGCGCTATATAAATCCTGTATAATAATAATAATATTTAAAAACATATATGCCTGAAACACTGGTGCTGGTTTACAAGCACCTGTACAAGTGAGTGGAATATTTTTGTCTATGTGATTTTGATTCCTATTAACGTACTACACTTAGATAAGCTATTCACTTGTCTGATTCATTCATTGGCTGGCTGCATTCCCGTGGGAGGAATATCTAAAACCAACCTAAAGTATATCACTGGAAAACCTACTGGAATCCCTTATATCTGGCTATAACCCATAGAGATTTATAGGGAGAAAAATTGAGAATCCAACAGGAAAGGGTGATTCCCTATATAACCAAAGGCGCATTTGACCACCATAACTGCGGTCAAAGGATCTGGTGAGTGAGTCGTCTACACTTCACGGTTATGAACACGAGGTGAAGATCACAGTCACATTTATTTTTTAAATTTTTTATAATTGTTTTTACTTTTTTTCATTTTTTTCAATTTTTTTTATTTTTTGACCCTCTTTGGAATTTTCTATTACCCTGTTTTGGGACAGTTACTAGAATCGTCATTATATTAATGTTTTTTTATTATTTACTTCACATGTTCACTATTGGTTGAATTACTATGTGGAGGGGTTACGATATTTCCTTGGTCTGAGCACACTTAGCCACTCATGGCCACATCAACCTGATTGCACCTGAACTTGGAAGTTAAGCGGGGTTGGACCTGGTTAGTACCTGGATGGGAGACTACCTGGGAATACCAGGTGCTGTAGGCCAAAATTTTATTGCATGGACCAAAATTGAGATAACCCTCAGGTGGTACTAATCTTGTACTTATTGCACTATATGAAGTTTATTGTTTGGGCAAATGTAGCACCTATCTATTTATATTTTATTTGCATTCTTTACACAGGTCTGCGACTAAAAAGCTGTTTGATTATTTTCATCTAATTTCCATGTATTTTGGTGTGCTGAAAACAAATAAAATATTGAAAAAACTCCTAGACGTCATGATTTGCCACAAAATGCAAAATTGTCTTCAAATTTTTCAAATTTTTTTAATTTGTGGTATTCTTTTTATATTATGGGTTTTTAACCAAATTTAAAGTCCAAATTACTATTAATTAATTCACATAAGTGCATTTAAGATATAAAATGCCAAAAAAACCTTAAAGGGGTTGTCCGAGTTATGTAAAAAAAAAAATATAGCACTGTAAATCTGATGGTCAGCAATATATACATAAGCTAAGCAATTTTAGGGAAAACAATTCTTTTTCCTCATTTCCCTAGTTCTCTTCTGGCCCTTTGTTGTTATTTGCAGGTAAACAATCTCTGCCACTCCCCCCCTGCAAGGGGGGTGAATACAAGTGCTGCTCTGAGGGACATTTCTGACTACTGGGATACGCAGAAAGCTGTATGTGTAAGCCTCAGCCCTCATTCTGTGCTTCTAATGGTAGAGGGGGTTAATCTTTCCTGTGGAATCCAGTGGGTGGGATACCAAATACTCTTGTTTTCTGTGTCTATGGGACAGTCGAGACCGACAAAATCACTGGACCAAGAAGAGTTGGCAGCCGAGGGTGCTAACAGTCAGTGAAAAAAATGTTCTCCGAGAAACTTTGGTACCTTCCCATAGAGTTCTTCTACCACCTCTCCACATAAAATTGGGATTGATGAAGCAATTCGTAAAATCACTTCCAAGAAATGGAGAATGCTTCAAATACTTGGTCACCAAGTTTCCAGGCCTGTCAGAAGCAAAATTGAAGGAAGGTGTGTTCGTCAGACCAGACATTAGAAGGCTGATAGTTGATCAAGAGTTTGTCAATACCATGACAGATCCTCAAAAAGAAGGGTGGATTGCATTCAAAGAAGTCATACAGAAATTTTTAGGCAATAACAAAGATCCTCACTACAAAAAGATTGTCGGATGAATGCTGAAAGCATTTCAAGCTTTAGGTTGCCTGATGAGTTTGAAAGTTCATTTCCTCCAGTCCCACCTTGCCTACTTTCCTGAAAATTTGGGAGCTGTGAGTGAGGAACAAGGTGAATGATTCCACCAAGACATTAAAGAGATGGAAAGGAAATACCAGGGAAAATGGAGCATTACAATGATGACAGACTACATCATTACAATGATGACAGACTACTGTTGGATGCTTCAGAGAGACATTCCAGATGCTACTCACAAGCGTAAATGCACCAAGAGGAGCCCTCACGGGGAAGAAGAATCGAGTTTAGTGTGTGTAGGTGAGCTCATTTCAGTTCAAAATAGGATTTTTATTAAAAAAATTGTAATAAAACTTTAATTTTATAAGTCTATTTCCATTTATTTTGAGGTATTGCCTTATTTACCATAGTTACCTAAATTGTCAGGAAACGTGATGTCCTATGACAAAATGGAGGTCATTTTCGGATTCAGCGCACCAAAAAAACATAAAGATTATGTGGAATAAGCAAAACAGCTCTTGAAAAAAATTTTTTTGCAGACCTGTGTTATCATACATGATCCATTTTAAACATCCTTTTTCTCATGTCCCATATTATGTCTTTACCATAATGGCTGCCTATTATTTATAAGATGTGCAACTTTTTCCTAATAAAACATTTATGGAAAAAAAAAAGGATGGAGAAGGATTTTGAAATTTGTGGCCACCTGCTACCCCATTGGATATAGTTTCCCTCACTTCCTGTCACATTGATCACTGTTATAGGGCAGGTAGGGAAAGGAATTTTCCACAGCTGGGGCATGTACAGCAATAGGAACCTGACAGGGGCTTTCCAGCACTATATACAAGGTCCTTTTCCCAGGAACATTTTGATCAGGTCCTCCTGTCTGTTTTTCAGGCTAACCTGATGGGACCCTCCATTCTGCTCTATGGAGCAGTGGATGTGAAGGGACTTGTGTCCGTTTACACTAAAATACCTCCAATCCAATCCGATCCAGCAAAAACAAATGGAAGAAGTATCCGTTCCCCTCTATGTGGCCGGATCGGATTGGAGGGCAGTTTGGTGTAAATGGACAGCTGGTCTGTTTACATCCTACTGCCACACAGAGCATAGCGGCCTTTGACCATGTCTGCATAAGCGGAGCGGACACGAACCTGTCATCCACCTGCTTAACTGGAGATTTGCAGACAGATCCCCCACTGAGCAAGCAGATCTAAGTCGCCCCGTGTGAAAGGGGCCCAACTCCACTTCTCCTTGTTTTCGTCAACTATGTAATAGTATATAAGGTACTCACAAGAGTGAAAAAATACATTGCTTGTAATATCCACAGTTAGGTTTAAACAGACATGGCAATGCCAAATTCAGAATATCTCCACTTACAACAAAATGCCACATGCCTCCAGGACTTCTCCAGAGCCTCTTCCATCTTCTGGAACTCCCTACCACAGCATGTCTGGTCAGCCCCCATCCTGTCTGCCTTTAGGTGATCTTTGAAAACTCACTTATACAGGGAAGCCTACCCCACCTCCACCTAAGAACTGTACCTGAATCACCTCCACCAGATCATCCACCGCAGCTATCACCTTTTGTATCACCTCCTTTAGATTGTAAGCTCCATGAACAGGGCCCTCATATTTCTTCTGTACTGAAATGTAATGTAATTGTATCCCAGCTGTACAACGGACTCTATTGGGGACCCTGATGTAAGGGGGAGAATCTGATGGGGACCCTGATGTAAGGGGGAGAATCTGGTGGAGACCCTGATGTAAGGGGGAGAATCTGGTAGGGACCCTGATGTAAGGGGGAGAATCTGGTAGGAACCCTGATGTAAGGGGGCGAATCTGATGGGGATCCTGATGTAAGGGGGGCCCAGTGAGGGGGACTGCGACAGGGTCCCAGATGTACGAAGGACTCTATTGGGGACCCTGACGTAAGGGGGACTCTGATAAGCCCTGATGTAGAGGTGGGTTCTCTGATGTAGGGAAGACTCTGTTGTAAGAGGGAGTTTGATGGGGACCTTGATGTAAGGGAGGACTCTGAAGGAGACCATCATATAAGAGGGAGAATCTGATGGGGACCCTGATATAAGGAGTAATTCTGATGGGGCCCTGATGTGAGGGGGGACTTTGATAGGGTCCTTGATTTGGGGGTGGGGGTATTCTGATGTAAGGGAGACTTTGATGCCAACCTTGATGTAAGAGGACTTTGATGGGGCCCTGATGAGAGGGGGGGACTCTAAAATCAGTGGGACTGTGAAGGTCCCTGATGTAAGAGAGGGACTCTGCTGGGGACCCCGATGTAAAGGTGGACTCATTAATTTATAACATTGATTTTTATTTTGAATAGTTGAACTGGATGGACTTTTTTTGTCTTTTTTCAGCCAGACTAACTATGTAACTATGCTCTGTCTCCCTTATATTGTAAAGCGCTGCGCAAACTGTTGGCACTATATAAATCCTGTATAATAATAATACATACATACAGGGGTGGACTGACAACTCATGGGGTCCCCGGGCAGTAGGGGATCATGGGGCCCCTGTGTCCTCGCCCACAATCAAACCACGCCCACAAAAGCCTATGAAAAGGTACCAGGGGCATCTCATGGGGCCCCCTACTGACCCAGGGCCCTTGGGCAGTGCCGAGTTCCCAAATGGTCAGTCCGTCCCTGAATACATAGCATGGCCAGGGGTGGACTGACCATTTGGAAACTAGGGACGGGTCAGTAGGGGGCCCCATGAGATGCCCCTGGTACCTTTTTCATAGGCTTTTTTGAGTTTGGGCAAGGACACAGGGGCCCCATGATCCGCTATTGCCCGGGGGCCCCATGAGTTGTCATTCCGCCTCTGAGTATTTCCCAGGGTCTCTGAAGAAGGGGCCATGGCCCTGGAAACATGTTAGCCTCTATCACACAAGCAGCAAATGACTGTAGGAAATAAGTGGAATGCAAGTTCATATACAAGCACCATGAAATAGGAATGTTCAGTGCAGGGGCGGACTGACAACTCATGGGTCCCCTGGGCAATAGGGTTCATGGGGCCCCTGTGTCCTTGCCCAAACTCAAAAAAGCCTATGAAAAAGGTACCAGGGGCATCTCATGGGGCCCCCCCTACTGACCCCGGGCCCTTAGGCAGTGCTCGAGTTTCCAAATGGTCAGTCCGCCCCTGGTTCAGTGGTATTTGCTAAGATGCTTCCAATGTGAACAACTGATCAGGGAAGTACTGGATATCTTTTACAGCAAAAGTAGTTACACTTAAAAATGGAGTTACACTTTAAGTTATGTGCATGGTAGAATTCTTCTTTAACTGAAGTCTCTGCACTGCTTTCTATAAACACTCCACTTTAAAAAAACGAAGAAAAAAAAAAGTTAAATTACCATCAAATTTATAACATTTAGGGCTTGAGAGCTTTTTTCTTGCGGCAGCCTTGTTCTTGGACCCAGAAACAGATTGTTCTTTAATGTGTTCCTGATTGAAATGAGATATTGTACTGGTAAGAGGTTTTTAGAATCATAATAATTCATTCACAGCCTTCCTTTATTTTTCTATAATGGAGCGATGCGGGGAGCGAGAGCAGCGAATGACTGCGCAAATATCTTTGCATGTCCGAAGCGTTTCGATCAAAGCAGGAATACATCTTCTCTTCAGGAATATATCTTTTCCCATTTACTTGACGTTTTCATCCAACCAAGCGTCTTTTTTAGTTTTAAAACACTGTAATAGAATGTATTTGTACAAAAAAAGATCTTCTGTAAATACGTTGTGAATTAAGCATTAGGAGGTTATTTTTAAACCCTGTCTTTTAACAAGCTTTCTTTTTTCTTTAGGCTGGCTGGTATAATATAAAGTCATCTGAGGTCTTCTACCAAACAGCTAAATAATGGATCTACATCTATAGGCCACACTGTCCCCATCGATGCCCCAAGGACGCTTTGTGTTTTACTTACAACATGACTGGTGTGATTTTCCTCTTGGTTCAAAGAAGAATTTTCTGTAGTTTTTATTATAATAATGACCATTCAAAGTAGTGATGATTTCAGTGCTCTGATCTAGCAATTAATGATCACTTTTCTGCACCAATACATATGCCTTAAACCAATTTTGTGGGGTCAAAGCGAATATTAAAGTGTTCCAATCAGTTGAAAAATGTTGAGTTTTTTTACAATAGTTTTTATTAACCACTTGCCTACAGGACACTTTTACCCCCTTCCTGCTCAGGCCAATTTTCAGCGCTGTCGCACTTTGAATGACAATGGCGCGGTCATGCAACACTGTACCCATTTGAAATTTTTATCATTTTTTGTTACACAAATAGAGATTTTTTTTTGGTGGTATTTCCTTGCAGAAGGGTGTTTTATCTTTTTCGCTATGAACAAAAAAAGAGCAAAAAATGTGAAAAAAAAATGTTTTCTTTGTTTCTATTATAAAATTTTGCAACAGGTAATTTTTCTCTTTCACTGATGTGCGTTGATGAGGCTGCAGTGATGGTCACTGATAGGCAGCACTGATGGGCACTGATAGGCAGCACTGATGGGCACTGATGAGGTGGCACAGATAGGCAACACTGATGGACACTCATAGGAGGCACTGATATAAGACACTTATAGGTAGCATTGATAGGCGGCACTTATAGGTGGCATTGATAGGCGGCACTGATGGGCATTGATTGGTGGCACTGACTGTCAGCACTATTGGGCATTGATGGGTGGCACTGCTGGGCAGCACTGATGGGTGACACTGCTGGGCACAGGTGGGTGGCACTGATGGGCATAGGTGGGTGGCACTGCTGGGCACTGATCATCAGTGCCTTGATGATCAGTGACGATCTCTTCTTTGACAATTGCCGGTTATCGGCAGTACTTTCCTCATGCTGTGACAGCATGAGGAAAGTGCAGCCGATAACCGGAAAATGTATTTACCCGGTGATCTGCTATGTCATTGGACATAGCTGATCACGTGGTAAAAGGCCGCAGTGATTGGCCGTTTACCATATCATGTTATCAACTGTGTCCGTAGGGCACAGCGATTACCAGTGGCGCCGGGTGCACGCATCTAGGGGCGTGTTCTGGGAGGATGTCCATGTAAGCCCTCCCGGAACTAGACAACCGCTCTGTAGCCGTCTTTCGGCTATAGCACGGTAGGGAAGAGGTTAAACAAAGTAGGTATGGTGCATCAATAGGCATTTTGTATTACAATAGATGACTTGATATAAAATGAGTTGCAAAACATTTTATTCCAATTGTTTTTGTAGCACCCCCTAGGTGGTGCTAGTGTAAGGTAAATGTTTTTGGCTCATGGCAGTGAGTGAACCTGAATCACTGTGGGTTTGGTGTGAGGTCAGGGTGGATGACTCAGCAGGTTGGTACTCTATTGCCTCCACCTGGTTCTGGAGGTCCATAGAAGCTTCCAGTAGGCATAAGGGTGTACTCCTCAATCTTCATATTCATGGGAGTCTGACCAATATCAAGCTGAGAGGCCCTGGTAGTGTAGTAGATTAGCACATAAATATGAGAGAGCGATGCTAGCAGAGGAGTCAAGTGGAAGATAGATTGCTGAGAGGTGTTGCTGTGTAGCCTGGGAGGGAGCCCCAGGGGAGGGGGGTTCTGCTTTCAGGCTGGAGGCTGGAAGCTAAGGAGAAGCTGAAAGAGGGAGCTCCACTGCCCTGCAGTCCACTGGGGAAGGACAGCCTGCCTGAAAGCAGTTTTATCCACAGCTGCAGGACAAGGACAGTGTGAGTACCTCAACACCCCCAGGACCTGGAAGGGAGATGTCTGCTGTATACAAGTTTTGACAGTCTTCAGGGGACAGTTCATAGCTTACCCAATCCCTTGTTCTCAGATCAGATACTGTAGCCAGGTAGGTTGGCATTCTATGCAGCAAGGAGACCAAGAGTTCCTACACATTGTCACGTTACTAGAAATCCACTCAGAGGACACCAAGCTCCTAGAATGGAATTACTTTACTAGCAACTGTAACACAGGTCTGCGACTAAAAAGCTGTTTGATTATTTTCATCTAATTTCCATGTATTTTGGTGTGCTGAAACAAATAAAATGTTGAAAAAACTCCTAGACGTCATGATTTGCCACAAAATGCAAAATTGTCTTCAAATTTATCAAATTTTTGTAATTTTTGGTATTTTGTTTATATTATGGATTTTTAACCAAATTTAAAGTCCAAATGACTATTAATTAATTCACATAAGTGCATTTAAGATATAAAATGCCACAAAAAACCTTAAAGGGGTTGTCTGAGTTATGTAAAATAAAAAATATAGCACTGTAAATCTGATGGTCAGCAATATATACATAAGCTAAGCAAGTTTTAGGGAAAAAAATTCTATTTCCTCATTTCCCTAGTTCTCTTCTGGCCCTTTGTTGTTATTTGCAGGTAAACAATCTCTGCCCCTCCCCCCCTGCAAAGGGGGTGAATACAAGTGCTGCTCTGAGTGACATGTCTGACTACTGGGATACTCAGCAGCATGCTGTATGTGTAAGCCTCAGCCCTGAGTCTGTGCTTCTAATGGTAGAAGGGGTTAATCTTTCCTGAAGAATCCAGTGGGTGGGATACCAAATACTCTTGTTTTCTGTGTCTATGGGACAGTCGAGACCAACAAAATCACTGGACCAAGAAGAGTTGGCAGCTGAGGGTGCTAACAGTCGGTGAAAAAAATGTCCTCCGAGAAACTTTGGTACCTTCCCATAAAGTTCTTCTACCACCTCTCCACATAAAATTGGGATTGATGAAGCAATTCGTAAAATCATTTCCAAGAGATGGAGAATGCTTCAAATACTTGGTCACCAAGTTTCCAAGCCTATGGGAGGCAAAATTGAAGGAAGGTGTGTTCGTCGGACCAGACATTAGAAGGCTTATAGTTGAGCAACAGTTTGTCAATACCATGATGGATCCTCAAAAAGAAGGGTGGATTGCATTTAAAGAAGTCGTACAGAAACGCTTAGGCAATAACAAAGATCCTCACTACAAAAAGATAGTCGGACGAATGCTGAAAGCATTTCAAGCTTTAGGTTGCCTGATGAGTTTGAAAATGCATTTCCTCCAGTCCCACCTTGACTACTTTCCTGAAAATTTGGGAGCAGTGAGTAAGGAACAAGGTGAACGATTCCACCAAGACATTAAAGAGATGGAAAGGAGATACCAGGGAAAATGGAGCATTACAATGATGGCAGACTACTGTTGGATGCTTCAGAGAGACATTCCAGATGCTACTCACAAGCGTAAATGCACCAAGAGGAGCCTCACAGGGCAGAAGAATCGAGTTTAGTGTGTGTAGGGGAGCTCATTTCAGTTCAAAAAAGGATTTTCGTGAACAAATTGTAATAAAACTTTAATTTTATAAGTCTATTTCCATTTATTTTGAAGTATTGCCTTATTTAACATAGTTACCTAAATTGTCAGGAAACATGATGTCCTATGACAAAATGGAGGTTATTTTCGGATTCAGCGCACCAAAAAACATAAAGATTACGTGGAATAACCAAAACAGCTCTTGAAAAAAATGTTTTTGCACATCTATGTAATGGTTTCGGCAGGGATGCAGTAAAGTGTCTGTAATTTTTTTACTAAGTGTGCCAGAACAAGAAACGTCCTCATTCTGCTATTTCTTCAATCAAATTTGGCATCCCATAACCCCTTTAGTTTATCCAAGTTTAACCCCTTAATAAAAACAACTAAAACCCAGCTCAAGGACTGTTTTACTGACTCTGGAAATACAAGTGTGGAAAATACGTGTTGACTGGTCTTGCAAAGCTTAGGGGAACACAAATCAAACTCAGCGGCCCTCACAAGGGTATTGCTACATTTTAATCAAAGGAAGTCAG